CAGTCCAAGCTCTTTGAGGTATCTCCATATTGATTTCCATAGTGGTTGCACTAGTCTGCACTCCCACCAACAATGGAGGAGGGTTCCTTTCTCCCCACAACCCCGCCAACATTTGTTATTGTGTGATTTCTTGATAGCAGCCATTCTTTGTGGGGTGAGGTGGAATCTCATGCTTTATAATTCTAATTCAAAAACCTATCTAGAACAGGCTTGGCCATTCGGTTCAACTTACTACCTTACTTTAAAAAAAAAAAAAAAACAGTAAGGAGGTAATTATGTTCCTTGATTATTTTTAGTTTTTATTACTTAGACCTGCTAGTCAGTCAATTAAAAAATATTCACTGATCAGGAACTAAGAGTTAAACACTGCTTAAGTCAAAAAGTATTTGGATATAGGGAACATCAGTAGTTAAATCCACTGGAAATACTTAAAAGAAGTATTATGCAGTTATAATTTTGATGCTATCAAAATGAAAATGGAAAATTAATAGCAACTTAAAACTGCTAAAATAGCTAGTAACTCCCTGATACTTTTAAATACTCACCTGTTGCAAAAAGGAACTGCCTGGATCTAATAGGCTCACAGCTTCATTCTGCATCGTGTTCTGCTGTGTAATTGCATCTTCTCTTTTCCGCTCTTTCTGTCCTGCTTCATCATCTTCATATTCATCTAAGCACTGAAAGAAAAAATTTTATTTATTTCCAGATATAATAGTATTACACACACACACACACACACACACACACACACACACACACTTTTGGGGGATGGAGTACCAGGGATCAAAACTCAGGACCTTGTGCTTTTGAGGCAGGCAGCAGAACCAATGAGCTAAATCCCAAGCCCAACAGTATTATATTTTAATGGCACATGAAAATAATTTGCTAGCATTAAAAAAAATGTGTGTATTTAGAAATCAGTTTACACAATGAAGATGTTCTTTTTAGCAATATATAAGTTTATTCCTTTATATCTCTGCACTGGTACCTCCCCATTCACACACCTGGCAATAGATCTTTTCTCTGAGCTCTAATGATCAGTGACAAGGTTTCTTACAGGGACAGTTGCTTATGCTTTATTAGTCATTCAACAGGTAAACCAACTCTGTCTACCTTAAAACATTCCCGCAGACTTGAACCACTGGTGGATCATACATGACTGTCCCATCAAGCAGCTTGCACCACTGGTAGTAGAATTGAACAGTCAAGCACAAGAGTCATGTATGTACCACGAGTGGTTCAACAGTTCCAGCAGTAGGACATATGAATTATAGCCCAATAATGAATGTGGTAAGGCACTTTGCAAAGAATAACAAAAGCTACACTACAAAGAAGGAATTTATATTCCAATAAGTAAGATAAGACATTTACAGATAACTTAGTGATAAAGGACACTTTTTAACTTAATACTGCCTATAAGAATACAAAGGAAGAATATTATCACTTGGGAAGTTCAAACTACAGAAAACTTTGTCATTTAAAGAATATAATTTGGAAAAGAACTAAAAGAATCATATCACAGAGAAGTATGCGCACCCATGTTTATAGCGGCACAGTTCGTAATAGCTAAAACTTGGAAACAGCCCATTTGCCCATCTGTTGGAAAATGGATAAAGAAGATGTGGTTTTTCTATAAAATGGAATATTACTCAGCCATAAAGAATGAGAAAATAGATTCATTCATAGGAAAATGGATACATATTGAAGATATACTCCTAAGTGAAATAAATAAGGCACACATGTGTAAATACCAGATAGTCTCTCTGGTGTGAATAATCTGCAATAATACAGAAGATCCTAATAAGATTACTGACAGTTAGAAATGGGAAGAAAGGAGCTAAAGGTGTAGGGAAGGTGGGATGGGTAGGGGAAGCGTAATAAGGGAAAAGAAAAAAATGTGAGATAATGGAAAGATGGAAATAAAATGTTTGTAGATGGGGAGGGGAGGAGGGGGTGAAGGGAGGGCAGGGACAAGAGGAAAAAATGAGAACCAAGACCTGTCATGTAGAGGTACAAATTCCCAACAATGAATGTAACTGTACTGTATCCCTAAAATGTACCAATAAACTCAATTAAAGCTGAAAAAAAAAACATAATTTGGAATTACAGATATTGATTAAAGAATTTGATGCTGAGAACAGCATTTTGAAAACGCTTAGAAGAAAAGGATTCTAAAAAGCTAAATCAACACCAGAAATTACCTATCTTAAGGCTTTCTACACAAACACACACACACACACACACACACATACACACACACAGAGAAATAAATTCCTATTACATTCATTACAGGATGAACTGTTCTTTGCAACACATTTCTGGACAATATACTAACCTAAAGACCAAAAAAGAAAAACAGTATCTGAAGGTATTGTTTACAAAGACATTAAGACACTGACCAAAGCACACTATTGCATAGAAGACAACATGACTTAAAAATGTGTGTTAGAGGAAAACATGGAAGACACTGTGCAAACCAAGCAGAGTCACTGGGGTATCCAAAGAGAAAAGAACATAGTGGAGGTGATGTTTACCTGATAAACAGCAATTCAAGGCAGACAATGAGAGATATGAAAGAAAGCAACTGTCTGAGATGAAGTCATACACTAGAATGATGTAGAGAGAAATTCTGGGGACAGAATGGAAGAGCAAACAAAGGAATATGCAGACTGAGATTCCAGAAAATATTCAGCATCCTTTCCTGAAATGCAACAGAGACCACTTACAGAGTTATAACCTGCCCTTCCCTCGATACATTAACCTTTGAGAATTAGGGCATAGAAAAATAGTACAAGAAAAATTGTTGCTACTATGAGTGTTGTGAGTCTAAACTATTCTTGACTCTAACCTAGGAAATTAAGTTTTGCCAGAATCCACAGGATAACATGGTAGCTTATAAACACAGATTAACATCAAGTCTCACAAATCTTAAGACAGGGGAGGGGAAGGGAAGGAAGGGGAGGGGAGAAAGGGGGGCAGGACAGGACAGAAAGGCATATGACTGTGATCAACAAGAAATAAAAATAATAAATAACCTGAGAATTTTAGACTCTTCCATACACAGCAGAGAATGATGTTACAGTGCTTCAACTAGTTGGGATAAAAGTACAATATGCTCAAAACAATTTTCAGAAAAATCAATCTGGATATAGCAATTCAGACTAAAGATTAATAGGAAAAAGGAACAAAAATGGAAAGACTAAACAACATCAAGGGCAATATGATCCTTTTAAAAATAATACATTCTAGGGGGAAAAAAAACAATAAAAGAAATCTAATAAAAGGGTAGTAAAGTATTTAGTCCCGATTAGAAAAACAATCTCCTTTAGAATTTCCAAAAAGATTCTTCAAATCAAAAGACAGTATCACATTTAACAAAAAAATCAGTAAAATCAGCTTTCAGACAATAAGGCCCACCACCAACATCACTCTGAAAGTACTAGGTGATAAAGTCAGAGGAACACGACAGTACAGCATTCGAAAGAGAACAAAATCGATTCATGGCACAAAAATTAAATAAATAAAAGAGAGCAAACTGATCATCACTTTAGATAATATGATTCTATTTTTTAAAAAACTTTAAAATATTTTGAAGAGTTCCTTAAGATGGCTTATTCAGTAAGTAGCAAATATAGTTTTTCAGAGTAACATCTATACAGTACTGAGAAAAGGGTCAACCATGTAATGTATAGTGGAAATTAAGAAGAATAAAAGATCTGGGAAAAAATGAGTGGTCTCATCTCTAGTCTTCTACTCTGTAAATGTAGTTATTCTTCATTCTCCAGGATTTGGACAATAATGAACTCATGACCTCAGGGTCTAATGTCAGTAGTTTAAAGTTAAATTTTAAAATCATACACACACACACACCACAGTGTTGTAGAGCTAGAAAATGAAAGTGAAGGCTGGTAGCCATGAAATCCCTGAGCACTGGGATGTTGCTTGCTTGTTTTCATTTTCTGAGACCCACCCATCAACACTAGTCTTTCCCCTGAATACTCCTGCCTAGGCTGGTACCTGGATTCACACCACAGAGGCACAGGGGGTCATAAAGGCCATTGTCCTGAGCACCAGCCTCAATTTTGATTTAATTCACATGGTTAAAGGGGATAGATTAATAAGTACCACAGTGTCCGGGCATAGTGGTGTATGCCTGTAATCCCAGCATTCAGGAGGCTGAGGCAGGAGGATCGCTGTGAGTTCAAGACCAGCCTGAGCTACATAGTGAGTCCCAGGTCAGTCTCAACTACGTAGTGAGACCCTGTCTCAAAAAACAAAACAACAAAAAAAAAAAAGTACCACAAAATGTCATTGTCTAAGCTGTGCTTGATGCTTCTGTGTTGCTGATTGTATCACTGGGGCTAACATGCTGTGATTGATCTAATCAGTTCTCTTTCCTAGTATAAAAGAGCTTGCCTCAGAGTCACTAGAGGATCAAAGCCTAAAGACAAGCGGTAACAGGAAGATCAAAGCATTAACCCAGGTATCAAATGAAGGACAGTACCAACAACACAAATAGAAATGGGAGGACATTCAAACAAGGCTCAAGCACAAACACAAACTTTCAGCTTACCAAAGGCAAATTTTGGGGGAAATGAGGTGGAAAAGTCTGATAATCAACCACCTGAACACCCTGAAATCATAGCACAGGTAGTAACAAAACAGAAGAATGAGGTTCTAGAAAAATTCAGAACAGAAATAGTTTCCCAGATAACTACAGAAATGGTAAGCACAATGAAAGACATGATTAAAGGCACTAGAAAAGAATCAGATTAAAAAAAATACATGAGCTCAGGACCATGATAGAAGCCAAGAATGCCCAGCATAGGAAAGAAATGGAAACCATAAATTCCCAACACAGGAAAGAAATGAAATCCATAAAACAGATTTAAACAGATATCCAGGAGATTGAAAATTCTATTGAAACTATACATAACAGACTGAGCCAATGTGAAGACAGGATACCAGATATAGACGACAGGATGGAGATCAGTGACCATGAAAAGAAGGATCTCTTAAAAATAGCAAGGGAAGGAGAAACATCAATCAAACGTTCCTAGGTGACGCAAAAAAGAATAATGTAACACTGACAGGAGTCAATGAAAAAGGAGAAAGTACAAGTCACATGAAAAATCTGTTCACAGAATTAATAACAGAACTTTATCCAAATGGATAAAAAGAATTTGACATACAGATAAATGAGGCTTATAGGATTCAAACCAGCAATGATCAAAAAAAAAAAAAAATCTACACCTAGACACATAATAATCAAGATCCCAGAAACCCAACAGAAAAAAAACAAAATACTACAAGCAGTTACAGAAAAGAAACAAATCACATGCAAAGGAAAGCCCATCAGAATCACAGCAGACTTTTCAACCCAAGCCGTCACAAGTAAATCCTAGTGTGAGGTATTTGACCTAAAAGAAATAAACCTCCAACTTAAACTGATGTATCCTGCAAAACTCTCTTTCAAAACTGATGTGGAAATAAGATACTTCATGACAAAGAACACGTGAAAAACTTCATGAATACCAAATCAGAACTTCAGACAATTCTAAATAATATCCGAGAAAAAAACAATGAAGATCACAACTCCATGAGGCCCAACAGAGCAAATGAGGCAAGGAATTACAGGGAGAGGGTGAAAACATTAAAAAGAGCCAACAAGAGGAAA